CCCCATCAACGCAGCCCCAAACAGTTTCTTTAGAAACTACCAGCCTTTAATAATGTTAATAGTAAGGTTTACTGACAAGAGGTAACAATCAGGCTAAAGCTCTATGGAGCCACAAATTTCTTGTACAATATTACTGATAAAATTCTCCACTCATAAGAAGCTCAAGATAACAACCAAGTCATAATACTAATTTTATGAAAAAGATGGCCAGCACAATAATTAAGGACAGGATAAATAATAATAATAATAATAATAATAATAATAATAATAATAATAATAATTTGTATAGCACAAATTCCATACAATGTTCAAATGCGCTTCACAATAAAATAACACAGTAATAATTAATACAACTATCAAAATAAAATAAAATAAATACTAGAAATACATACAAATACTAATGTTCTACTAATACTGCTCTAATATCGTGTTCAGGCTAAGATAAAAATGCTAAACAAAAAAGGTATGTTTTTAACTTTGACTTAAAAATATCCAATGACTTACAGTTTCTAACTTCGAATGGTAATGCATTCCAGAGTTTAGGTGCTGCGCAAGTAAACGACCTGTCACCAAGTGTCACTTTAGATTTAAATCCGGGTTGTTTAAGCAAGAGGGTGTCACAAGAGCTTCTCAGGTTATAGCATGACTTAAAGGCCATCTTAATAAATCTACACAAGCTGCCTGCTAAACTTAGTTGAAAGAGTTCTGCTTGGATTCACCTTAAATAGTTGGCTAGCTCCTTGAGATGCTGAAGGCTTCGCTGAGCATCAGCATTGAACTGAACATTGTGTTGTACAGAGGATTTAAATTCTGCTGTGTAATCTTCTGTGTACACATCACCATTAATTGAAAAGGATCTTTGCTTGTATTTGGTTTCATACCTTGTTTTAAACTTTCCAATGGAAACAAAGATTATTTGTTTTATTTGGCATTCAACTAAGAGATTCCGTAATGCCTCAAAAGTATTGCCTTGTGTGAGATAGTCATCAAACACACAGACAACCCTATCCTTTAGTTTTTTGCGATACTTGTCACTCACATGTATTGATTTAAAATGCTTTTGGCAGTAGTCATTACTCTGTCTGCGATCTCTTCCATCAAACCTTGATTTGCTTGTTGCTTTGTACCTGGAGAATATTGCATCAGGCTTCCGTCCATTCATCATGTATCTAACATGCTCTTTCAATTCTTCCATACTCTGTGGGGGGTTTGTTGAAGAGGATGGGGCTACTGCCCAGTTTTGAACATCTCTAAAGTCATGATCATGAGCAATAGCTGTTAGAATAAGTAAAAAAAAATAGTCAATTAGGGTTTGCTTACAAAATGTTCGAAATTAGATTTACTTAGTCACTCATATAAAGGTAAATATAGTGACTGAATTTTTACATAAATAGCACCAAGTTATCTCATTCTATCAGTGATGTTATTTCTCTAAATTTTTTTAAAAAAAATTTGCAATTAGTAGAGTCAGAGTATTCCATGCAAAACTTAATTATTATCATATTCCGTGGTGCCCAAGTTCAATATACAGTCAAAGTTCTCCTTGGATTGGTATGCTGAATTTTTTGTTTTGAATTCTGACGTGACAATTACAGGACATTTATTGGCAGAGTTAAAAGCCAACAATCAAATGCACAAAAAATGAGACATTGATCATTTTGCAGTTTACTGAGTTGGTAGTGCATATCCATTTATATTAAACAGTTGATAATAAAACCAACTTAGGCATTTGCAGGTGCATGTCCAGTTAATTTTAATTTTCATGCTTTAAGGGATACATACATTTTGAGGGCCAATTGAGGGCCAATTTGAGGGCCAATTGAGGGCCTTTGAGGGCCAATTTTAAAGGGTTTTTTTTGTCACATCAAACTAAGCATTATTATGTCAATTATAGTTTCCAAGAAAAACTTTGGTGAAATATTGAAATGCACATGAGTTATTTCACAAAAACATACATTTTAACTGAATTCTTTAGCCTGCCAAAGTGTGAATATAAGATGTTGACATAAGTGACTCCTGATAAGGGTTTCTTACAACGAAACATCCTGGTCTTTGAATTTCAATCTCATAAACATCTCCTGATTTCGGTTACTCACATTTAGAACAAGAATGAAAATGGAGAAAGACAAAAAGGAGAAGAGTCCATAATTTATATAGGTGAAAGTAAAAAAGAAGCCTGGCTGTCAGCACAAAGAGTGAAGAATTTCAATGCAGAATGGCCAAAGATTCTCACACAAGTGGATAAATAAGGCTCGTTGTTTAGGCAATCTTCACTGCTTGCACTCTAATTTACATTTTCAGTCACGAGTAAACTTTTTTTTGTAAAAAATATTCATATTATCGTTGGTATTAATGTAATCGCCTAGACTTCCTGAAGCAGGAAAAATAGGTTAGGTGACAAGGGTTTAAAAAGAAAGATTCTCCCTTGTAGGGACATTTTTATTGAGGTGTTGCAGGTCATTGAGTAAACATGGTGAAGCAAAGGGATCTAAAGCATTTGTGAAACACAAATTGTAAGTTCAAATCATTCATCATTTTAACTGAGAAGAATGTTGTGGACACTAACTTTATCTTGTAATTGCATTGTAATTTCAGTCGACTAAGACTAACCATGGATGCCATGAGCTGTGTAGTCTAGTGTGAATAAAACTCCGGATGCTTAATCTCTGACTGAGCTTTACTGGAGTGAAACACACTCATAAGCAACCATAATTTAAGTTTTGCTGCAGTGTACTTAGGCTGCTTTTGGGTTGAAAAAAAAAAAAGATAAGTGAAAAATTGTCATTCAGCATAACTGAGAAAACGGTTTGTTATGGGTAGTGTTAGATTATCATTACCCCCAAAATATGTTTATGCTGAGAGTCTCCTGAGACGCTTCTGTGTTTCTATTGGCCATTGGCATTTCAAGTTTTTCAGTGTTGACATTACCTGAGATGTGACCATGGTCACGCGAAGACATGAACTGTTGGGAAACTCAGAAAGCAAAAATCACCTTGTTCTTTGTTTTTATGCCAATGTGCCTTCTTTGAACAAATTGTTAGGGTATGTAAACTGTACTGATTGCCTTGCAATTTGGTCCAAAGACTGCCAAGATACAACCTAAAAGACTGTGTGGGGGAATTCCATTTTTCAGAATCGATCTCCTGCAATGGCCTCTGACATAACATGCGTGCGTAAAATTCTAATCAGCAAACTTGACAGGTAAGTTGCAAAACAACCAATAAGAATATTGAAAAATCCCCACCTGTTGTGGTGTGAGCTGTGATTGCTTAGGAGAAAGCTCTCATTTCTCACCCACAGCACTCACATACTGCTTGTGTACTGAAGATGACCAAAAAGTTCGAAGTCTGACAATTAAAGATGACAACATTGAAAAAAAAAATGTCCTCACCTGCCATTAGGTGGCAGATTAGAGCCTGCTTGATCACTGGGTTATTGTTATCATCTTTCAAGATGGCCTGAAAGGCCTCTGCCATAGCTTTTTCATCGTCACTGACTGTATATGTGTTTGCCAGACAAAGAGAAACCACTTTTGTTGGTACAGGATCATTGAAGGCACACCGATAGTACCAGCTGGTCTGATTTGCTACTATTTGGAGAATTGCTGTCATCTTTGCTGGTGTGGGTGCTGGTATCCCATATTTCACAACCAGGGGCTCTAGACCTACCCACCCAGCAGCAATGAGAAACGACTTTGTGGTTGATGCCACATGCAGATCCTTATCCACAGCACCACATATTATTACAACTTCACCTCTACTTGAGGTATTCATGATAAAACCTCGCAGCTCACTGCCCCGTCTTAAAAAACTTAGCTGCAATCTGAAAAAAGGACAAAATTAAATTAATTTGCCACTATGCCATTCTAAGGAATAAGAAGAGATCTGATGCTTTATGATAAATTTTCCATAACGTATGGCAACAATTCCGTGAAACCTTTGTGTCTCATATTCAACCATTTCATTCTTCTCTCCAAATGATAAATATTTTTGGGAAAAATGAAAGGAAAACTACCAAATATTTTTTTGTTCCTCAAGACAGTTGGAGACACATGAAAAGTATTAACTTCATTAGCATATTCAAAAAGGAAAAAAGTTAAAATTCCATCACCTGTGGAAACTAACTATGGCAGAAGCTACTTAGTTAATCATGCACCTTGAAAATGAAAAGATGTTCAATCTTAATTGTGTCGGTGTTTTGTAAATTTCAGAGAATAAACACTATTGTGATAAGCAGTAAGTCCACTAGCTATATACTTAGTAATTCATTCTTACAATTCAGAGGTGGTGTAAGTAGATGTATTGTTTTGTTAATTGTGTTGAAATCTTCAAAGTTTGACAAAACAATAAAATTGTAGTTTATGTGGATACCTCAACTATGTGGATCTTAAATTTAAACTCCACACAATCATGATGATGGACGAGATAACTTAATGATGATACTGATAATGACTATAATAATGAAGATAAAGGTTTAGGTTGGTGAAATAGGGGGACTTTACATCTAAGATTGAACCATTCATGTAAAGGGCACAACCAAAACATGCCACTCCCCTTACCCAAGTTTCTGGCCTTTAAGTGCTATTTTTTTTTTCATTAAAAACAATAAACTAAGGCTTCAAGCTTAGCATGCATTCTTAAAGTCACCATTTGGTGATCTGATATTATTAAATAGTTAACAGAAACAGAACACTTTGTGTTACATTAATTACAAAATGCTGACCAAACCACTTGTCTTTGGAGTTAGCAACATGGTTTAAAATCATTTTCAAACATTCACATCATATCACAAAGCTTATACTCTGAAATATTCTGAGGAAAATTACAGTTTTTTTAATTATTTTACTCTTTTTCCTTAATGAAACAATCTAATCATGGGGAAATGCTTTAAGTGAGATCTAATTATTTATGAGTTATACAATAGGGGATTTGAGCACCCATTTATAACACTGGTAACAGAAAACTGCTTTCATGGGACACAAGGAAAGATGTCTTCTGTCTAAAGTGCCCTGAAGCTATCTGACAGTTATTCTTTTTCACAGGGATAGGAAAATGCATATGGCACAAAGAGGATTTATGTTAATTGATAAAAGTACTGCATCAGGCATATTGAAATACATTTGAATGTTAGGTTTTAAGGCTAATCAACAGCTGAGCTAGAAAGATACCCTTATTTGTCATTAACATGAGTCTTAATTACCAATATATGAGGTGGTGAGGGTTGGAAGGCATGGTGCGCGGCCTGCAAGGCTGCATACATAAAACAACTTTAACTAAAAAAAACCCACCCGTAATGCAAAACAACACATCAACACCTCCTTGAGAAAGACGCATTTTTTATAGTAACATATTTGCAGACCCTGGCAGTGTGCTGGACACGTGTCAAATATGAACTTACATACATACATACATACATAAACTTTATTTATCCTCGGATTTTAGATTAGCTTATAAGCTAGTATCTCTGATCCTAATTACTACTTTAAAATTACAGAAAGAACAGGTTAAACGATAAAAATAATTCATAATATAATAATATAATTTCTTTCTATAAAAATCATAAATTATATATATTTATTTACATTAAATTAATGAAAGATAATTACAAATAAAACTATAGATATACTAAGATAACTGAAATGATTCCTCAAATAAAAATGTCTTAAGTAAAATCTTAAAAGATTCTAAGTTTGTTGCTTCACACACGGACCTTGGCAGCTTATTCCATAGGAAAGGAGCAGCTACCAGGAAAGCTCTGTCACCCAATGTTTTCTTAGTTTTCGCACTTGGTCTTTCCAGCAAACGACCATTATCGTTGCGCCTCAAATGGTAGGATGAAGGCCGTTGAATACTTATTAAATCTGAAAGGTACTTACTAGGTGATAGGCCATGCAGAATTTTAAAAAATATCAAGAGTATCTTATAATGTATCCTGAAGTGCACTGCTAACCAATGTAGTTCAGCGAGTAGAGGTGTAATATGACAGAACTTGTATGCACAATATATAAGTCTCACACTCGCATTCATAACACGTTGCAATTTCATAATTTGATATTCTGGGATTCCATACAAAAGGCTATTACAATAATCCAGTCTACCACTACTTTCTGGTAACAGTAAACTGCTTTCATGGGACAAGGAAAGATGTCCCTAGTCTAAAGTGCCCTGAAGCTATCTGACAGTTCTTTTTCATAGGGAAAGAAGAATGCATATGGCACAAAGAGGATTTATGTTAATTGATAAATGTACTGCATTAGTCATATTGAAATACATTTGAATGTCAGGTTTAGGCTGATCAACAGCCGAGCTAGAAAGATACTCTAGCAATATACTACATTTGTCATTAACACGAGTCTTACCAATATGCGAGGTGGTGAGGGATGGAAGGTATGGTGTGAGGCCTGGGAGTCATACATAATTTAAAAACAACTCCAACTAAAAAAAGCCATCTGTAATGCAGAACAACACATCAACACCTCCTTGAGAAAGACTCATTTTTTATAGTTACTGTAACAGATCCTAGCAGTATGCTGGACACGTGTCAAATATGAACTTCATAATGGGCCTGCTCACCATAGAGTATCTGTGGCTCAGCAGAGCATCGGAGCACGGAATCCAGAGGTCTGAGGTTTAATAACAATAATAATAATAATAATAATTTATTTCTTATAGAGCACTATGTACAACATTTGACAGATCAACAGCGCTTTACAACTAAATCCCACCATCCCACCTTTACAACTTAATCCCACCATCCCACCCAAGGGGAAACAGTAATCTTGTGTGTGGGAAATTAACCTCTCCTACCCCTAACCCTGCAGTAGATGGGACCTCCATATAATTATTCGTCCCTATCCAAGAACACTAGAATATCTAACCACTTCTTGATGTTATAGAAAGGTAGCAAATTCTTCTCAATTATTTAAAGACCTTGAGTGTTGGTCCAGCCGGGGCGAGAACCCTCGACCTCCAGCACAACAGTCCAGCGCACTATCCATTGGACTAACTGGGCAGAGGTTTGATTCCTCATAGGGACTCAGAATTTTTTCTTTGTCCCATGCTTGTGATTAGACACCAAACATCTTTCTATATTTCTTTATCTAATATTAAATAATTAATTAAATACTAAAATAGTGATCTTATAATTATGAAGGTTGTCTTTTTCCTAACCATTACTTGGTGTTTTGTTTTGTGGTTTCAGGGGAAACACCATCCATTGTGTCCTGGGTGATGTGCTTCTCAATTAAAAACATAGTAAATTGGTACAGAGACAGTCTTGCATGCTAGCTTTGATCAAGGTGCTTTTGGAAAGTCTAAACCTAATGTCAGCATGAGAAAGAAAAGACTTCTCGATATATTGATTTTAGTTCACAAGTTATTTCAAGCAGCCACACATGCCTACATCTATATCAGCATTACTTACACCTAGAACCAACATTAATGGGCTTAGAGGTTACAAGTTGCAGTTACCACATCTAAATACTGCACCTTATGGGAGAAAAACTCTTTCAAATTTCTTGCGCCCAAATTATGGAATATGTTAAACGATGACTTAAGAACAACCTTTAGCATAACCTATTCTTAGAAACGACTGCCTGGACTTTATAAACTAGCTAGATTGATTATTCCTATCTTTATATGACTGTATTGAATATATAACTTTACAAGCATATATACATCTTATTGTTCTCTTTTTCTTTTTCATTAATTGTACATATATTTTTCACTGTATTTATTTCTCTGAGATATTTAACAATTATTCCATGAGCACGTGTTGGATATGAGATGACAGACAGCCAACGAGGCGTGTAGTAGTGCCGAGTTGGCTATAATCATCTCATATCCAACAAGCGCAAGTGGAATAATTGTTTTATTAAAAACGCCCTCAAGATATTAGGCAAATCTTAAATTTTCAGCTCCCTTTTAATTTTAAGCTGATGCATATGCTTACCATATTTATAGATTATGGTAGATTGGCTTATATACCATAATGGATAAGCCAATAAAAAGTCTTGAATAGCATTATCCAATGATCCAGTTTTTAATAATAGTGCTTATACACTAGTAGACTATACTCTTCAATCCGAGTTGAGGTTTTACTACTACTACTACTACTACTACTGTCGCTACTAGTACATGTGACTACAAAGGTTTTCTTTAAATTTACGCACCTTTCAGGATACCCTTCGCCATTATTACATATTCTCTCCTTAGTCCATCGTGGAACGGAAAAAGGTTTGCAAAACTACACTTTTTTTTAATAATTTGCGAAGCTGCTCGTAATCCCGCGAGCGCGAACAACTTGCCCCCCTCAAGCTGAAGGACCTGGTAGTCTGGTACTGAGTTTGTTAATACTTCGTTCAAAGCCAGTGCCAGGTCACTCAAGGGGCTTGTTGTTTCGCGTGGCTCGATTTTTGGTGTTGTTGTAGGAGATGCAGAGCCGAAAAAAGCTTCGCTAATTCCCTCCAAGTTGTGTGTTAGCAAACCCTTTTTCTTTCCATGATGGGCCGAGGGCATCTTTGATCTGTGTGGGTATGTGAAAATGACCGTAGACATCCTAAAAGCAAAAGGTTTTCGTTACTAATTTTGTACCTTTCGGGATGTCTACGGTTATTTTCACATTCCCATATAGAAAAATGATCACCTCGACCCGTCATAAAAAGCAAAAAGGTTTGTAAACAGACAGATCTAAAGAAACTTGCAAAGCTTTGGAGGTTCAAATTTTATTTTCCTTTGTTTCAAACTCATTATCATACATCAACATGAACGAGAACAAAGGAAAATAAAATTTGAACCAAGTATAAAATTGAACTACAACATAGA